GATCCAAATGGGAGAAGTACTTTACTGGTTGCATGCATGTTCTCATTAGTCATGATACTTATTTTATTAAATCCCATGAAGATGTCAACTCCTCAAAAACTTCTTGTCTGACTTACCTAGTCCCCCATTTGCTTTCTCTCTCTCTCCCCCCTTTACTCTCTTTCTCTCATACATTTGTGTCTGCATGTGTGCACTATTACACTTAATTCCAATATGCTTTATTTGATTTGCTCAAATATCTGACTTCCTTGGTAGACTGAGCTCTTTCAGTGCGAGGACCAAGCCTTATTTGGCTGATGTATGCATCCTTGACCTAGGGAAAAAAAAGTTCTTGGATTCCCTTAGTGAAAGAAAAGAAAGTCCACTGATTCTGCCTGAGCCTGGATTGTGCCAAGTTTTATTGATTCTCAAGGGTTTCAGCATCTGTCTCATTGTTTTCCTTGTCTTAAAACCAGTGTCTCGGGCCGGCCCGGTGGCGCACTGGATAAGTGCGCCGCTTGGGAAGCGCAGCGGCGCTCCCGCCCGAGGGTTCGAATCCCACATACAGACCGGCCGCTCACTGGCTGAGTGAGGCGCGGGAGCAACACCGAGGGTTGCAATCCCGTTGCCGGTCCCCGGTCCGGTGCGGGGGCAACACTGAGGGTTGCGATCCGTTGCCGGACACGGAAAAAGACAAAAGACAAAAAAAAAAAAAAAACAGTGTCTGGACCTTCTGGCTGGCATTCATATGTCATTTGGGCCTCATGAACATGGGGGTGGGGAGGACCAGCAACTTAGACAGTTGGAAGACACATGTGTCCTGACCTGAAAGCCCACATACCTGTGGTCTCTGGAAGCTTGCTAAGCATTTGTGAACAGACGGATGCCCATGTCTTATCTTTTACCTCAAGAGCTCTGGGGATTTACAGTCTCACCATCTTTTGAGTACCTGAGACAATAAAGCAGAGAGCTGGAATTTACGAGGTTAGATTTGGATTGACCACCACTTTATTCCCCACAGTTAGGTCAGCAACTTCTCTTCCCTGGAGAATGAGTGTAGAGACTTCACTGGAGGAACCCTTCAAAACTAAGGAAGTGGTTTCTATGTTGTGCTTCTGAGACAAGGCTGGACGTCAAGCAAGTGAACTCTAGGGTGCACCGGGAACCAAGCAGCGTCAGCGTGGGCTGGAGGGATGGTGAGGGAACAAAAACAGAAGCTGGTGACTTTGACCTGTTGTCTCAGGTCATCTCATGAGTTCTTTGCTAGAGGACCTAAAAGCCTCACAGTCATTGCAGCCTGCTTGGCCTGCATGAGGTGATGACAGGAGGCATCTGTCTGCTGGTTTTTGAGGAAGTTATATTTATATGAAGACGTTTCATCTCCCTGATAGGGTCATCTGAAATTGAATTTAACCTTGTGCTTTGTCCATTAAACATTATTTAGGCAACAGAAAATGGACGAAGGGAGACTGTGGAATGTTTTCTTTATATTGGCAAGTGAAGACCTAGTGAACAGTCAAACCACCTTGGTGCATTTTGAGGACTAAAAGGCATCATAAAACTTAACCAGCAATGTCCCTGATGTCATGGAGCACAGACTGGGAGCTGCTCCTTAATGGTCAACCAGCATGTGCACTCCTTCCTTATGGAGAAGAAAGACGCTGCCTTCATTGTTATATTTGGGATGATGGTGATTCTACTGTTTCCTTATGATCTGAAAATGTACCAGGTGATGGAAAGCATGGTCCCTGATTAGATTTGATAGCCAGAGTATGCTGTCTTTCATGTTTTGAAGTTACTTGTCAGATGTATTCTGCATTCCAAAATGCTGTTTGGGACTTTCTCATTAACCTGTTTGAAGAATGTGGTTATCATCAGGTTAAAGAAACATTCAAGAGCATTTCTTCTGCCTAATACCATTTAGCCTAGCTCTACTTGAGAGAAAAAAATTACAGTTTAGTAAAATATACACTGTGTTTAGAAGAGAAGGGTATGTGTTAAAGAAATAACAGAGAGAGAGCACCACATGTGAAACTTACCCAGCCTGCTATTTGCTTACCGTATTTTAATTGTGGGTTTCAGTATTTAGCCACATAGTCTCTTCAAAAGACGTTTCAAGTTAGTTCTCTGGGACTTATAGACACTTCAATGAGAAATATGATGGCTGAACACCTACACACCGATCCACAGAAAGAACCACTGTGATGTTGAAAGTGAGCAGAGGGCTTCACAGTGACCCTCATATACAACTGGCTCCAACTTGGCCAGGTCATTTTGCTTTCAGGGGTCTGTGCCTCACCTATAAAATGGGGATTCTGCCCTTATGAAGAAAGGCCTGTTAATTAATAACTGAAACACCAGGAATGCTAAAAAGCACTATCTAAATGCTGTGTATTGTTTTCAAGTTGTTATTTCTGGTGGGTGGCTAGGTTAGTATTGTTTTGAAGGTTAGGATCCAAATACCAGCTCATCTGTTCTCCAGCTGTTGTTTATCCACCAGTTTCCTGGAATAGTCAGGCACAAGGTCTTTTAAAAATGAGTTTTGTGCTGCTATACATTTTCGTAGGTAATAATTAAATACACTACTAATTTAGCCTATTTACTGTACAGGATGTAGGTAGTGGACCAAAGAATATTCATATCCCTTGGAGGCAATAGTATTTAAATATAGAATTTTCCATTAGCTCGTGTCTACTCCCACCCTACCCCATTGATTGGAATGTTTTTACAACATCCCACCAAAGGGTTGTTCAGCTTCTCAGCTCCTGGAGCAGTCTATTTCACTTTTCTCTCTCATTTTAAGTTTTATTTATTTTTATTAGATAATACATATATAGTATAAAATTCAAAAGGTGTGAAAGGCCCATACTAAAAAGTCTTACCTCTGTCCTTCAGCCACTCAGGGGCAATCAGTATTACCAATTTCTTCAGTATCCTTTCAGGTAGATTTTATATATCACTATTATTCTCCCACCACCACCACCCTTTTTATATAGAAATGATAGCATCTCTCCTATACCACCAGTTTCCTGGAATAGTCAGGCACAAGGTCTTTTGAAAATGAGTTTTGTGTTTCTGTACATTTTGGTGGGTAAAAATTAAATGCACTACTGATTTACTTGTTGAGTCATCTTAGCAGCACCTATTAGCGAAAGCTCAATAACTAATGGAGAGTACAGCTATAGGAGATGTTTCTAGAATTGACATGAAGATACAATCTAGTACATCTCTGGTGGCCTCTAGCCTGACCTCTCCTAAATGCTAAACATTTACACCCAACTCCCTGCCATGCATCTCCACTGGGTGTCCCACTGGTCCCGTGTGTCATCACCGCCCAGATCAAACTCAGGATCTTCACACCTCCCTCCACCCAAAGTTCCATCAGTGTCACTGTTAATCTCTGGTTGCACAAACCAGAAACCAAGTCATCACCCTTGATACCTCCTTCCCACACTCCCAAAGCCAAGCTATCATCAGTCTTATGTCCTCATTCTCTCAAGTCAGTCAACTTTATGTCCTCATTCTCTCAAGTCAGTCAGGACTCGTCATGTCCTCACCTACCTCCCTACTCTGGGCCTCCTGCTGGATGAGTCCCTCTCCTGGTGACTTTATTATAATCTCCTGTCTTTTGCACTTCTAGTCTTTCCTCCCTCCAATCTACTCTCACCCAGAATGACCTTTTAAAGTCACAAACCCGAACATGTTTCTTCCATGCTTGACACCTTTTGGTGGCTTCCTAGCACTCCTAGTATAAAGATCAAACATAATTATGCCTTCCAAGGCCCCACATGCAGGCAGCATGTTTTTACTGTCTGCAGTCCAGCTCTGTCTGCGACTCTATCACAAACCCGAACATGTTTCTTCCATGCTTGACACCTTTTGGTGGCTTCCTAGCACTCCTAGTATAAAGATCAAACATAATTATGCCTTTCAAGGCCCCACATGCAGGCAGCATGTTTTTACTGTCTGCAGTCCAGCTCTGTCTGCGACTCTCCTTTTGTCATTCCTCTGTCTGGAATACTGTTCTCTTTTTGCTACCACATCTAGTTATCGTTAACTTGTCTTTCAGATCTCAGGCTTCACTTCCTCAAAGCCTCACTGTAAGCCCAGACTAGGTCAGGTCCCCAATTAAAGCTAACAGCAACATCTTTTCCTTTATTATACTTATGAGGGTTGTAATTTCTATTTATGTCTGTGATCACTGGGTTGATATTTCATTAAGTTCTAGTTATTGATATTGGATAGTTTCTGGCACATACGAAAATATTTTATAAGCTATGAAGGGTCTTAAAATAAAAGGTAGTGATTTTTTTAAAAATTCATGTTTATAAATAAAGTTAAACTATGAAGGATGGACATGCATGTTTATGAGTGATGAGTGACTAAGGGAGTGTCTCCCTTGGGATCCCTGGTGATCCTAATTTAGACGATTCAATAGAAGTATCTTACTCTATGCCAAAGTACTGGGCATAGGGATTGCAGAGATTAATAAAATCCAGACAGACCCTGCACTCAAGCAGCTCACATTATTTTATTTTTTAAAACCCAGGATTACCCAATATCTGTCTCCTGTGGTTTTTCAGGTGTCCCCATGGCATTACAGAAAGCCTTATACAAATTGAGCAACAGGAGCAAATTTTCCTCATGGTTTCTTCTAATGATTCTTACCTCTTCTATTGAGAGATATTTAGAAATATTGTTGCTGTATGGGCCAGCCCATGGGTCACTTGGGAGAGCGTAGTGCTGATAACACCAAAGCCACGAGTTCAGATCCCTATATAGGGATGGCCGGTTCGCTCACTTTGGAGTGTGTGGTGCTGACAACACTAAGTCAAGGGTTAAGATCCCCTTACTGGTCATCTTTTTTAAAAAAAAAGAAAGAAATATTCCTGCTGTAATATTTAGAGAGATCCACTGAGAGAATGCAAGCTAAGCAAAGCTCATTTCACAACCCTTTTGTTGAATAGGAACTTGTGAGGTGTACACTCACCAGGAGTTTTGTGTCTGTCCTTTATTCCCAGGAAACCTGTAGAAAGTGTCAGGGACTCTGGAAGGAACATAATGGCCTCACCTGTGAAGAGCTGGCTGAAAAAGATGACATCAAGTACCGAACATCTATGTGAGTAACGTGATTCAGCAGGGCTTATTGACTGATTCTCAACTCCCAGTCAAGCCTGCCTTTTGGCAGAGGGGGCAGAGTACATGGAGGGAATACCAAGCTCAAGCCACCCCAGTCTAGAGTGACCTCTGGAAATTGACCTCACCCTTGAGCCTCTGTTTCTTCATCTTCACAGCCTCATGAATCTATTTCAGAAGTCAGATATAACATATAAAATGCTTAGCACATATGAATTCAATAAATTTTCATTCCTTTCTCCTTACTGTCTAAATAAATAAGCAAGTAAAACATTTTGGGCTGGCCAGTTGGCTCACTTGGTTAGAATGCAGCATTGTAACATGAAGGTTAAGGGTTTAGACCCCTGTCTGAGCCATCTGCCCAAAAAAAAAAGCACATTTTAATTAGATTAGATTGCATTGGTGTTTCTTATGTCTGTGTCATAGGATACTGATGGCCTGAGACAGTAAGTAGAATAGCCAACCTCCAGAATGCAAAATGATACATCAATAATAATAAAAACCATTATTTTATAGTACTCCCCATGTGGTTTAGCACTTTACAGATATTAACTTATTAAAATACAGTGATATGAGTAATTCACAAATCTGTTTCTTTCCACTTGCCAGGCAGATGGGGCAGATCTGTCTCATGAGGTCAGTCACAGATCCAGGTTTCTTTATGTCACTGATTCTTCATTCCATAAGGGTAGTGTTCTCTTCTGCTTGGTTGTGACACATTTATACTCCAACCCCCCAGGAAGGGAGAAAGAAAGAGACAAAGTGTGATGCTAATAACACCAAAGTCCAGGGTTTGATCCCTGTACCAGCCAGCAAAAAAAAGAAAGAGACAAGTTGTCAGGCAGGCTCTCTTCTGTCACTTCTACTCATACCCCATTAGTTTAGACCGAGTCACCTGGGCATAACTTGGCTCCAAGGCAAGCACAATATGTAGCCTCTAGCTGAGTGACTTTATGTCCAGCTTAAATGTAAAGGGTAAGAAGGGAGTTTTGTTACTCAGAAAATTAAGTAGGGAATGGCAATTCAGGGCAGTTAGCAGTCTCTGAGTTTCTACCACAGGTAGGTACTATTATCCTCATTTTATAAATGAGGCAGTTAAGGCATAGAGAGACCAAGTAATTTGGCCGTGATCACACAGGTAGTAAGTGGCATAGAGGGGATTTGACCATGCAAATGGCTTCCTGGCTGTGCTATATACCACAACTTTGGTAGGCAGAATAATGGCCCCCAAAAATGTCTATGTCCTAATCCCCAGAACCTGTGAATATGTTACCTTACATGACAAAGGTGACTCTCCAGATGTGATTAAGGTTATGGACCTTGAGATGGGGAGATTATCTGTATTATCAGAGGAGACCCAGTCTAATCACATGAGTTCTTAAAAGCAGAGAGCCTTTCCCACCTGTGGTCAGATAGAGATGCAAGGATGGACGGAGAGTCAGAGAAACATGAGAAGAACTTGACCTCCCATTGCTGGCTTTAAAGATGGAGAAAGGGGGCCATGAGTCAAGAAATGAGGCAGCCTCTAGAAGCTGAAAACAACCCCAGCATACGTCCACCAAGAAAATGGGGACCTTGATCTTACAACCTCAAGGAAATGAATCCTGCCAACAATCTAAATGAGCAGCAAACAGATTTTTGCCTAGGACCTCCAGTAAAGAACAGCTTCATGATCAGGCATTTGGACTGCTCTGGGACTCAGTAGCAGGTCACAAAGTGTTTCTTAGAAGCAGAACAGGTGGTTACTTTTTGAAGCAGGGTCTCCATTCTGATTCTCCTGTCAGTTCCTGCCACTGGCTCCATTCAGCATCTTGGTCTGCCATACATACTTGGAGCACCTCTGGGTCATATTTAAACCTGGCAGCCTTTTAGATCAGCAGTGAGTGGATCAAAGCAGAAAATCCAAATGTGCTATATATTGATTGCAAAATCCAAAAAATACTCCCAAATGTTGTGCTGTCTCCTTAGTGGTAGGGGGTACAAGATACAGCAGCATGAGCTTAACTTTGTCTTTTTTTTTTAAAGATGACCGGTACGGGGATCTTAACCCTTGACTTGGTGTTGTCAGCACCACGCTCTCCCAGTGAGCTAACTGGCCATCCCTATATGGGATCCGAACCCATGGCGTTGGTGTTATCAGCACCGCACTCTCCTGAATGAGCCGCAGGCAGGCCCCTACGTGAGCTTAACTTTGGAAGGGATATCCTGATAAGACACCCCTGACCTCGAGGACATGAGAACTTCATTGAGGTTACACATTCCTGTATTTTCAAGGGATTTATCTCCCACCTGGCATTCATGTACCATATTAATGCATGTGGTAGAGTACCTGCTACTTCCATTGGCTAGGTTCTATCTGCATGTCATTTGAATAGTAGACCAGTGTGTTGTCCCATTGGATGACAGATGATCAAGGTCCTTGCCAACTGCTGGTGTCCTCTGCTTATTGGACAGAGAATAAAAGCATTTTCCAGATCAATAGCTGATAACCAGTTGCCAGAGGCTGTGTTTATTTACTCTGGTAAGAAATGACATCTGGAACAGCAGATGCAATTAGCACTTGATTAGGCTTGCAATAGCACACTGTTCTCCAAGACCCATTCCTCTGTACAGGCCTAACAGGGAAGTAAAAAGAGATATGTGGAGAATCATCACCTCTGTATCCTTGAAGTCTTTGATAGTGGCACCAATCTCAAAAGTGCTGAAGGAATCAGGTATTATTTTTTTAGAGAGGGGGTGCTCCAAGGGTTTTCTCTTACCATTCCACACTGTATAGCCCTTAGCCCATGAACCAGTGAGCCAAGGAATCCTGCTAATTGCCAAGTGTCAAAAAGAAAAAACAGCAAGGGTCCACACAAGGGATTATAAGCATAACAAGTGCTATGAGATGAGACTCGATCTTGGCACCTTGAATGACATGTTAAGAAACCTTAACCTGGGGCCGGCCCGTGGCTCACTCGGGTGAGTGTGGTTCTGATAACGCCAAGGCCACGGGTTCGGATCCCATATAGGGATGGCCAGTCAGCTCACTGGGTGAGCGTGGTGCTGACAACACCAAGTCAAGGGTTAAGATCCCCTTACTGGTCATCTTTTAAAAAAAAAAAAAAGAAAGAAAGAAACCTTAACCTGCCAGTTGTGAAAGACATGACAACTCTTTTGTTTGTTTTACTTTTTCTTATGAAAATTTTTGAGCGTCCACAATAGAAATAATAGTATAATGAACCCTGACAATTATCAGCATTTTGCCACACTTGCTTTGTCTATCCTATCCTTCTTTCTTGTTTTTAAACTGCTATATAGTATTTTTAAGCAAATCCAGATCCCTTACAGTATGTTATTTCACCCCTAAGTACTTCCTTTTTTTTCCTTACAAAGCACTTAAGATTGTCACTATTAACAAAATTGACTTTGGTAATAAATTGTAAATAAATTTGGTAAATTTTGTCTTTGGTAATATCTCATATCAAGTTCACAGTCCCCTGAACTGTCTCAAAATAGCTTTTCATGTATACTACAGTTAGTTTTTTCAGGTCAGATCCAAACAAGGTCCACTCATTGCATTTGATAATTATTTATCTTAAGTCTCTTTTAATGAGGGTGCTCCTCTCCCCCAACACACTTTTTGTCATGACATTGACTTATTGAAAAAAAACAAGGACAGTTGACCTATAAAATAGCTTTTGGAGTTGGCTGCTTTCTTATGATGTCGATGAACTTGTTCTTCTGTCTCCTTTCTTTTCTTTTCTTTTTTTTTTTTTTTTACAAAATGAAAACAGTTTAATGTAATGGTTAAGAAGTACAGGCTTTACAGAGAAAGTGTGTTGCCTAGCTCCAGAGACTGAGCAGGGTCTGTACCAAGTGTACTACAAAATTAAGAAATGCAGACTTATAGCTTAGTGTGTAGTGTAGGCTGGCTCAAGAGAGTGAGCATCTGCCCCTTAGAATTAAGTTTAACACAAAGGTAAAGTATATACACCCCTCCTGGCAAAGTGCAGGTTGGCCCCAGGAAGGCAAACAACTAACCTCTCCTGTGTTTTCTATAAGTTAGAATTTAAATCTAAAGGCTTAATTAGGTTTACATTCAAAATTTTTGGGTGAGAATGTTTCACAGGTTGTGCTGTGTATCTCACATTGTACCACATCCAGAGCCACATAGTGTCTGGTTGGCCCACTGGCAAATTCTCCTAAGCAAATGAATGATATGGCCAATTGCATGGTTTTGATGGCTACATAGCAGATAGCTTTAAGGAGAGCGACACTAGGGTTAAAGAAAGTATTTAGACAATTACAGTAGTCCAAGCCACTATTGTAGGGCCCCAAATTAGGATCATGGTATTGTGGATGTAGAAGAGGGGATGGATTTAAGAAATATTTAAGAAGTAAAATCAGCAGGACTTGGCTTATGATGGGGAAATGAGAGTTGTAGCAGTCAAGAATGATTCTCAGGTTTCTATCTTGGGTGCCTGAACTACACCAACTAACACAGAGAATCAGAGCAAGAGATGTGTAGAGGAACATGAAAGTGAGTCAGCCACATATTAGTCACTAAATTTGGTTCTTCTCAAAAGATAAATACACTCAAGGGAGCAATGTCACCAAAAGTGGCAGTTCAGGGAACTCCAAAAACCTGTATCTCCCATTAGAGCAACAATTAACCTGGCAAAAACTACCAGAATCAACTTTTTTCCTTTTGTTTCACCTCCCTCACAACTTCCTCAGGGCTGGAGTGGCCTCCTAGTGGATTTTGTTGAAAGCATTTAAAGGCATGTATTAGCTGCAGCTGCATGAGGCAAGTGATCACAGATGGGCAAGCACCAGACAGATCAAGAAGGCTACATGCATGACCAGGGCTCAACACATGCTCAAAAAACCTGAGAAGACTCTAAGCTTTCACCTCTGGCCTACCTTTAGATTCTGTGCAAACAGGAAGTGAAAGGCTAAGAAAGTTATAAATGACCTGGGTGAGTTGAAGAAGTGTCCCAC